GGAGGGTGGAGAATCAAGGAGCATGCCCCCCCCTGCTTTTCACAAGTGGGTAGGGTTTTAGTAAGGCCTGCATAGCGAATGTGTGCAAAAAGACTATTGGAGTGGAAGTATAGATATCAATATTTGTGGCAGAGGGTAAGGTGCAAATAAGTGGGCTGGTGATGTTTGTGTGAATGTGGACAGGTAAGGGTTTTTTGTCATAAAGGTAAAGGTAAAGGGACCCCTGACCATTAGGTCCAGTCATGACCGACTCTGGGGTTGCAGCGCTCATCTCGCTTTATCGGCCGAGGGAGCCGGCGTACAGCTTCCGGGTCATGTGGCCAGCATGACTAAGCCGCTTCTGGCGAACCAGAGCAGCACACAGAAACGTTGTTTACCTTCCTGCCAGAGTGGTACCTATTTATCTACTTGCACTTTGATGTGCTTTCGAACTGTTAGGTTGGCAGGAGCAGGGACCGAGCAACGGGAGCTCACCCCGTCTTGGGGACGCAGTCTTGCTAATGATGCACAGCTCTGTTACTTTTTTTCACCTGAGTTAGGAGAGGCAAGGCAACTTCTTGGTCAGTTTGTGGTTCCAGTAATGGACTGTATGAGGACCAATGAGCTGAGACTGAATCCTGATAAGATGGTGGCCCTGTGAATTGAAGGTTCCCACGTCTGGGAATTGGGCAGGTTCTGAATGGGGTTGCAGCCCCCTATAAGGAACAGCTACGTAGTCTGTTGGTACTCTTCAATCTAGCATTGCCAATGGAAATGCTGGTAGCCTCCATGGAGTTTGAAACGCTCTTGGCCAGCTTTAGCTGGTGTGCCATCTAAGGCCATTCCTAGCCAGGGATAACTTGGCCACAGTGATCCATGCAGTGGTAACTTCACAAATTGATTATTGCAGTGCACTCTGTGTGGGGCTGGTGAGTACATGTCACACCAGTTCTAAAATAGCAGCAATGGCTACCAGTGTACTACCAAGCCAAGTTCAAGGTGCTTGTGTTGACATAAAGCCCTACACTGCTTCAGACCAGGATACCTGATGGAGTCCCTACTCCCTTACGCACCTGCCCTTGCTGTAAATCTGGCTGGGATGCTCTCCTAATAGTGCCACATTTGCCAAGTATGCATTGTGCAGCAACAAGTGAGAGGGCTTTGTCATCTGTGGCACCTCGACTTGTGGAGTGCTCTCCCCTCAGTGCCAGGTGGCTTCTCGTCTGTGGAATGCTCTCCTCAGTTAGGTCTGCCTGGTGCCTTCATTAACATCCTTTAGGCTACCGGGCTAAAATGTCTATCATCTCTCATTGTAATCAAAAGATGGATGATGGACAAGTTGGTTGAAGGACTATTGGAGAAAAGGTTCTAGGTGCTTTAGTTTTCCTTTATTTCTCTGCTGGGTTTCCATGTGGGTTATTGGAATGGTTTTATTGACATTTATTGTTTTGTACATTATGCCTCCTCCTTTTGTGTGAGTCTCTTAGAGACTTTTTTGGACTAAGAGACTAGCAAGTCAATTCAAATAAATAAATGTTAAAAACAACAACCTTGATGGTTATCCACCACCTATATAAACATTTTAATTTACATAGACTGGGTTAATTGAAAGTGGAATTAGCTGGGTTATTTTCACAGATGTGATAATTTTGTTACTGCAGTATGTAGATGGTTATTTTCATTGCTTCTCTACTGCTTTTCTATGATTTGCTCTTGGATTTGTTTTAAATAAAAAATGTGATACAACTTTAATAGAATAAAAGAGGATGCAATGTAGCTACATGGTTTCATTGCTGTTCAGGAGCCTCACAGAACCCAATTGTTTGACCCATATAGACCAGTGTTTCCCAACCTTGGGCCTCCAGCTGTTTTTGAACTACAATTCCCATCATCCCTGACTAGCAAGACCAGTGGCAAGGGATGATGGGAGTTGTAGTCCAAAAACAGCTGGAGGCCCAAGGTTGGGAAACACTGCATAGACGTTTCATAGGATAGGCCAGGCATCCCCAACCTGCTGCCCTCCAGATGTTTTGGCCTACAACTCCCATGATCCCTAGCTAACAGGACCAGTGGTCAGGGATGATGGGAATTGTAGTCCAAAACATCTGGAGGGCCGAAGGTTGTGGATGCCTGGGATAGGCTTTTAGGTGTGATCAGAGTTTGGTGAAAGATCTGATTTTGGATAAGCAAGTTTACATGCAGCAATCTATTGAATGCTTGCCTCGAAATTGGTTTTATAGTTCTGTAGTTTTATCATTCTGTAATTATTCATCTGATGTGCTTATTGTTTGTCATCATCCTGCATGGCCTATGGTCAAACAAATAGAAGTATTACCAAGCTGCAACTAATAACATGGCAGAGCCGCCTTTTAAAAACTCACTTAAAACTAATGTCTGTCCAGTAACATGAAAAAGTATAAAATGAAATAAAAAGGCTTTATATTTTATTCTGTTCTTTTTGGTGGTTATACACAGCTGAATCTTTTAAGTGCATTTCTAATTCTGCATTATATTAAAACTGGAATAAATTGTTCTCCAGAAAACAATCAGGGCATGGAATGGGTTTTTTTTTTAATTATATGAAAATATGTGCTTCTCCTGTGCTCTCTCTGAATATTTGCTTTTTCTACCCCACGGATGTGAAAGGTCAAGGCAAAGCCTGTAGAACAGCTTTGGGGTATTTCTTACAAGCCTTTGTTCCTTTGAAAGGCTCACAAATTATTTGGAAACCTGAAACTCTTACTGAAAAGGGCTTGCTCCAGGTCTAGTCAATTTACGTCTGATCCTTTAGCGTGCTAAGTTCCTCTTAAGTGATACTCAGCACCTCCATTTCTCTGTAGAGTACAGTTGTACTGTTGAGGGTCAAGCAGCTCATGACAATTATCATGTTGTTTGCCCCTGAGTGCAGAAATAGCCAGCATAAGGAGTCCAGTCTGGGTTGGGATCCCAGAGTAGAAGACAGGGTGCTTTAGTCCTTTATCTCCTGCTGTGTCCCTGATCTGGATTTAGGGACTTTTTTCACCCTGAGGGCCGTATTCTCTCCCAGGCACTCTTCTGAGGGCCACATGCCCATGGCGGCCAAGGACAGAGGAAACAATAGGTGGAGCAATGCATTCAAAATTTACCTATAAAAGTGGTCAAAACTTTTATATGCCTGTTGTCTTTGTCCATGGAGTTTTCTTGGCAGGGATACTGGAGTGGCTTGCCGGTTCCTGCTCCAGGGGGATCACGTTTGGTCAAAACTCTCCACTATGACCTGTCCATCTTGGGTGGCCCTGCACGGCATAGCTCACAGCTTCTCTGAGTTAAACAGCCTTGGTCCAGTATATCTGAAGGACCGTCTCCTCCCCCATCGTTCTACCCGGACACTGAGGTCCAGCTCCGAGGGCCTTCTGGCGGTTCCCTCACTGCGAGAGGCCAAGTTACAGGGAACAAGGCAGAGGGCCTTCTCGGTAGTGGCGCCCGCCCTGTGGAACGCCCTCCCATCAGATGTCAAAGCGATAAGCATCTACCTGACATTCAGAAGACATCTGAAGGCAGCCCTGTTCAGGGAAGTTTTTAATATGTGACATTTTAGTGTATCTTTCATCTTTGTTGGAAGCCGCCCAGAGTGGCTGGGGAAACCCAGCCAGATGGGCAGGGTACAAATAATAAATTATTATTATTATTATTATTATTATTATTATTATTCAAGCCCCTTCGCCACGGCAAGACAGTGATCCATGAAGGGGGCTGTGAGAGAGACTGTAGCAAAAGGGAATTGGTAACAAAACATCCATCAGCATCCAGCATCTTCAGATGGGTGAAGCCCTTCTTACGCACAAACTGTGTTGACATCAGCAAGATGCAAAAAAAAAAGCTTACGGACCCTGAATTTGCTAAGAGTTTTCTGCATATCTGGGGTATTTCTGGATTCTGTCTGAAACACACACTGATCTGTGGGAGTGGAAATGCACGCAGCATCTTTTTGCTCTTCTGCCCAAAGAGGCACATTTAGCATAGTTAGGAACTTAGCACACAGCTGTTGCCCATTGCAGAGTTTGTAATTTAAAGTTGTCCTTCCATAGCCACTGAGGTCAAACAGGAGCAAGTTGCCCATTACACTTGGCACAGATATATGTCATTGGGGACAATCCAGGCTGGTGCACAGGACCACCTTGCGTGTGCTGGCCATAGTGCTGAGCAAAACATCAAGGGTTCCTTGAGGTGAACATGCCTCATGACCTATTTAGGATGAGAAGGGAGGATCACTACAGAGAGTTCTGAAAAGATTATTTCCAAGCTTCTGTAAGCAGGGCACTCATGTGCGGTGACCTTCAGTGCAAGTCAAGTTACTGTAATGAAATAAAAGTTTGTGAGGTTGTTCTCTTCAGGGGCAAGCCCCATGCAAGTGAACTCGGAGCATGCTTGTACTATGGACAAGCAGGTTTAATGGCCAATGCCTTGCTCCAAGGAACCTTGCATAAATAGCATAACTAGAGGCAGGTCAGGATTGTGGTTCATGATTGCTAAGGTGTTGATGAGGAAATACAAAGCTACCTTAAATGTGTTCAGGTCTAGTGTAAGGAAGAATTTGCTGGTGTACGCCCAGAACATTTGTCCACCTTCTTTGAGAAATCTTGGAGAACAGGTGAGGTAGCACAGGACTGGAGACAGGTAAATATTGTCCCAGTCTCCAAAAAGGGGAGAAGGGAAGAGTTAACGGAAAATATTTTGATACTGGTGAAGAATATAATGGAGACAATTTATAAGCATATTGGTAATAATTCAGTGATTAGTAGGAGTCAGCATGGATTTGTATCCCAGCAGATTAATGTTACCTTCCTTTTTATTGGGTTACTAGCTTAGTGGATTGGGGGAATGTTGTGGATATAATTTATCTTGATTTCAGCAAAGTATTTAATGAAAGTTTGTTGAGTGTATGCTCAGAGCTTCCGTGAGCCTCCTTTCAGTTGACCCTGAATACATGCAATTTGTGATGAAGATGGTAGTCTCATTTTTTCCCCTTACTTTCTCCCCAGGTATCATCCTTGGATTTGGTCTTCGGTCATACCACTTCAGCTACCGAGAAGTGAAGTACTTTTCCTTCCCAGGCGAACTCTTAATGAGAATGTTGCAGATGCTGGTTTTGCCTCTCATTGTATCCAGCTTAGTAACAGGTACTCTCTTATCTTTTCCCTTTTTCTGTTTTGCAGCAGCAGCAGCAGCTGCTTTCTCTTTCCCTTTTGCCAATGTGTTGATAAAGAGAAAGAAAAGCTTACAGCCAAGTGCATGAATGATGGTAAAATAATTCAGGGGCCATCAACATGGTACCTCTGGGTGCAGTGGTCCCCCTTGGGGTCTTCCCTTGGCACAAGAAAGCCTTTGAGTACCCCCTCTCATTGAGCACCCCTTGATCACAAAGTGGTGGTTACGTTTTCTCCCTTGAAAAATACATAGAGCTGAAGGAGGAAGTTGTAAGAGTGATGTTCTTTCCCACTTCCTCTTTCAGCTCATTAACTCCACTGGGTCTGACTTTTACCCAGCTCCCTTGGAAAGGTGAGGTGTAGGCTGATTCAAAGAAGGGGGAAAGAATTGACCAGAATGAGGAGTTGCTTAAAAAACCAAATGTGCCCACTGGCTTAAAAGTATTGGTGACCTCTGCAGTAATACACCATGAGAATTATTAGGAAAGAAATTGAAAATAAAATTCCTTTATTTATGGATGCTTTACATGCAGAAGGTCCCATGTTGAGTTTCTGACATCATTTAAAAGGGCAAATTTGTACTTGCTGAGAAAGATCTCTCTCTGCCTGAGATCTTAGAAAGTGGCTACCATTCAAAGGAACAATATTGAGATAGGTGAGCAAATTGTCTGACCTGGTCTAAGCTTCTTTGTCTACTGACAGTCAGCAGCAAGGCTGGCTGATTTCACAGAAATTGCTCGGAAACATACCTGCACGTTTTGCTTCATAACTTTCTTTCTAGAAGGAGCTACAGACCTACTTGCTGAAAAAAGTAAATATCAGAATCAGGGCCTCCTCCCTGAAGCTGCCAATGAAGGCCTTTGCAATGCCATGGCAACCCTTACAATAGAAGGAAATATTTTTTCAGAGCTGAAGTAGTCTTTGGTCATACCAAATATATTCATTTTTACTCATCTGCTTTATTTCATATTGTTACACACACCCCAGTCTCTGAGTAGTGAGAGGTTTCAGGGGTTCCAGTGTGAGCCCTGGGGTTAGTTATCTTGGAATGAAGGCCGCAGGAGCATGATGGCATTTCTGTGATAGCAAGGTTTTGTTTATACATACAGTGGTACCTTGGGTTACAAACACCTCGGGTTACAAACACTTTGAGTTACAGACTCCACTAACCCGGAAGTAGAACCTCGGGTTAAGAACTTTACCTCAGGAGGAGAACAGAAATCAGGCGGCGGCAGCAAGGCAGCAGCGGGAGGCCCCATTAGCTAAAGTGGTACCTCAGGTTAAGAACGGTTTCAGGTTAAGAATGGACCTCCGGAACGAATTAAGTTTGTAACCAGAGGTACCGCTGTATTTATACAGGCTGAGCATAAGTAGAAGAATGGAAGAATGCGGAAGGCATTTTAGCCACAACAAACAGGTTTGCTGCATAGATAGTGCTTTGAGTATTTTGACTTGTAACAAAAATATAAGACTATTTTACGATACTACATAAGAATCTTCTCATCTGCTTTGTGTGACTGCAATAATATTATTTTTAAAACAGAAAATATCCTTCCCTCCTTCCTCCACCCTTTTATAAATACAACAAATATCAGAAGGAGGAAGAAGACCCATTGTAGAACCAAGAAGGGTGCGAGGGATGAGGGGCAGTGGGGTGGTTGGCAAGAAAACAGGATGGTTTCCACTTTCCTAGAGCAGGGAGGACAGAGTGGCTTTATCAATGGCTAGAAGTATCTTTGTAAACAGTATTGATGTCCATATGCTGTTGTCTGCAGAAGGCAGCTAGTTTGTAAAGGGAATGAGGTCAGTTGTCCAGTGTGAATAGGTAAGGATTCTTCGTTCTGATGTTTCAACACAAGTTGTTTGGCTGCTTCGCGTGGTGCAAAGAATCCACTTCTTTTGTCTGGATACAAAGTCTCATTGAGGCAATACAACTTAGCAGTAAGTCTTTTGAGGGCCATTGGATCGTGGCCCATCTCTCCCCACAAACTACCTTCTCAAAGTGATTCTCTATGAAGAGATGGATGGATCAGTCTATTTTTGCTCCATGTCATTTTTGCATCTGTTCCTTCATAAGCTTATTCCATTTCTACACTAATCTGTGTTTTTTTTAATCTGCATCAGAAGTCATGTTTAAATACATATTGGAATATGAATCTTTGGATGCATTTTCTCGCAAAGTACACATTTACACTTGTATAAATGCTTTACAAAAATAGCTGAGAACTGTGTTGCAATATTCAGAGCAGTGTGAAATCTGAAAGATAACTGTCCTGTTCTCATTTTGCAGAAGCTGGGGGTAGGGGAGTGAAAATCAACTCTGTTTTTAAATAGAGCATTCCTCAAGCTCCCCCACCTCTGAGAAATCTAGTTGCTAACCTTGGGCATATGTTAGATTCCCGCCCCCAGAACTTGAATTTTTATTTATTATTTGTTTGTTTTTTTAAATGCAAGTTACTTGCATGAAATGGCAGAATTTTGCTCATCTCTGTTTGTTTTGTGGTGTTATATACTAATCTTGATACAAGGTGTTTCTGAGATATAGCTATAGATATGCAACCTGTTCCCCGCATTCCCATTCAGCGAGAAACTCCAGAACCAGTACTACAGGACTGAGAGTCGAGCTAGTCATGACAATAAATGTCATGCATTGCATTTCAGCCTTTTGAACTAAAAATAAAATAAAATAAGGCAGCCACTGGTGGAGAGAGCAGGTTTAACCACAGTGCAGGGAAGGGGTCCTGTACTGTTGAAAGTCCTGCCCCTGGAAAGCTGTTTTTTTCCTTAGGCAGAGGGACATTTAATTATTAAAACATTTTTATATGGTGCTCCATGTTTTTCCTCCCATACCAAATAGCTTGAGATGGAGCTCGCTCAGTGGTTGTTCTCAGGAGCAGTTTGTGTGCCATTTGACCAATTCTGAGACCATGAAATTTCAAGTCACTGCACTGAGGCATGAAGACTAGGGTATTTCTTTCCTTTCTCCTGCACCCTGAGATTGTTCTGCCTTCTCACTGCAGCTTCATGCTTCCCCATTTCATGCACTCTCAGATGCTCCAGCAATGATTACTTTTTTTCTGAGAGTAAGTGATGAGTGTCATTGTGGGCACAAAACTCCCTTCCCTTATGCCACGTGACTCTGCCGGACCTAAATTTCTCTCCCAGGAACAGCAGGAGTTCCTTGCTGAACTTGATGTGTGGCTCCATTCAGAGAGCACCGTTGCCACAACTGACAGCATTTCCAACAAGACCATGAACTCTGACCCTCATTTCCAGGGGTCAGAAAGTTGCGCCTGATTCTGGAGCGGGAAATCTGGTTTTTTCTGTGACACCATGACCCCTGCCTGCAGCTATAGGAGAAAAACTCCATGGCTCATGTTTCAGGGGAATGTCATCTTGCTGGTTTTAGTTCTGAGTCCATCTCCAAGCATCAGTCTTATCATCAGAGAAAATCCAATTCCATAGACGTGGAAGAACCAACAGCATTTGGAAGAGCTGGTCCAGGACTGAGCTGAAATGGCCTCCCCAGTTTTGCCACCTCATTCAGAAGCTTTGCATTCAGGAAGGTCATTTTGATGATTTTCTGCGGCACAGAAGAGAGGGGGCTGACATAGGAGTAATTGCTATTGGTGACCAGACTGTTTCCTAGTGTGGGGCGATCACCATTTTGCCTCCAGGACTTCCTAGATTGAGGGCAGTAGGTCACCACATAGTGTCACCATTGAGTCAATGAGAGTGAGGGCAATACTTCCAGCTGTCACTCTTGGAAGTTGGGAGATGGCAATGCCAGCAACCAGCCACTGGAATTCCAAGGAACACCATTGTCATCATCACCAGGACAGTAAAATAGATGGTGGGTAAACCAAGAAGGATGGTCTTGGGAAATCTCGGCCCTCACTCAGAGGTCCCAAATCCTGAGCCAAGAGTTCTTTTAAGAGAATGTTTGACTTGGCCCTTGTTCATGTGGAAGTCCCAGATTTATACCCTGTCCCAGTGTCACGGTCCAGTTTACAGGCAACCGAAGTCCAGGCAGGGGACCTCAGGGCCAGGGGCAAGATGGCAGGGTGGGAGCAGGAATGAGGGTCCAGAAGCCAGGAAGCCAAGAGTCTGAGGATCAGGAAGCAAGGAGTCATGAAGTCAAGGGTCCAAGGATCAAGAAGCAAGGAGTCACAAAGTCAAGGGTCCGAGGATCAAGAAGCAAGGAGTCACAAAGCCAAGGGTCCGAGGATCAAGAAGCAAGGAGTCACAAAGTCAAGGGTTCGAGGATCAAGAAGCAAGGAGTCACAAAGTCAAGGGTCCGAGGATCAAGAAGCAAGGAGTCACAAAGTCAAGGGCCCGAGGATCAAGAAGCAAGGAGTCACAAAGTCAAGAGTCCGAGGATCAAGAAGCAAGGAGTCACGAAGTCAAGGGTCCAAGGATCAAGAAGCAAGGAGTCACAAAGTCAAGAGTCCGAGGATCAAGAAGCAAGGAGTCATGAAGTCAAGGGTCCAAGGATCAAGAAGCAGGGAGTCAAGAAGCCGAGGTTCAAGGATCAGAAAGCAAGAAACCAAACGCAGCGAGGCAGGGAGCATGTTGCTGCAGCAAAGAGCCGAAGGGAAAATGCTGACCTTATATCCCTTCCCAGCTCTTGCCACCAGGTGCTGTGAGTTACCAATCGGCCTCACCTGTGTGGCCACGCCTTGCCTCTTCAGAACAAACTTAGGAAGGCCCCAGTCCTGCAAAGTCCTATTGGTCACAGGGCCTAGCTCCTGCACGCACACCTGATACCCAGTCTCAACCTTACTAAGTAGTCTTAGCCAAGCTTTTATCTTTCAGCCTCAACCACTCATCTTAAGCATGGGGATAATAATGCTAATCTATCTTTCAGAGTTCTTGTAATAATTATTAATATAAGATATACTAATCCTTGCAGTTTATGGTCCCCTGAACATAAGAAAGCCCATCAGCTGCATATTGCAATATGCTCCACTTTC